AGGCTGCAGATGCTGGAGGCCATCTGTAAGCACTGGGAGGGCCCGGTCAGCCTGGCCCTGTACCTGTCGGACGCGGAGGCGCAGCAGTTCCTGCGCTACGCCCAGGCCTCCGAGGTGCTGGCGGCCCGGACTAACGTGGGCTACCACGTGGTCTACCGCGAGGGCCAGTTCCACCCGGTCAACCTGCTGCGCAACGTGGCCCTGAGGAACGCCCGCACGCCCTACGTCTTCCTCACCGACGTGGACTTCCTGCCCATGTACGGCCTCTACGAGTACCTCAGGTCAGCAGCCGGGGGGGGCTCCTTTATCCGGGCAGTATGAGGAAATGTGGAGGAAAAAATGTATTTTTTTTTTCCATATTTTCACATTTTGTTCAAATAATTTCTCGTTTTATTGAATTTTATTTCAAGTTTCATTAGAAAGTAAAATCCAACAAAAGAGTTGAAGGACGGGGACAGAAAGTGTGTTAATAAATAGTAAAATAAGTTAAATAAGTTAGATTTTCAAATCCTATAAAGCCAGTCCAACAGAAAAGGGATGAAAAATAAATTTTATTTCATGTGAAGTCTTTGTTTATTTTAACAAAATGATACAATATGGAGAAAAAATGAATTTACCTTTTTTTTCCAATTCATTTTCATCAAAAGTTTCATTAGAAAGTCAAATCCAACAAAGGGGTTGAAGGACGGAGACAGAATGTGTGTTTTTAAATAATAAAATAAGTCAAATAAGTAAGTTTCTCAAATCCTATAAAGCCAGTCCAACAGAAAAGGGATGAAAAATCCACTTTATTTAATGTGAAGTCCTGTTTCCTCCTCTCTCCTTCCTGTTTCTTCCTTCCTTCTTCCTGTTTCCTCCTCCCTACTTCCTGTTTCCTCCTTCCTGCTTCCTGTTCGCCACATTCTCTTTCCTGTTTCCCACTTTCTCCTCCCTGTTCTCTGCTTCCTGTTTACTGTTTCTGACTCTCTGCTTCCTGTATCCTCCTTCCTGTTCCCTCCTCCCCGTTTCCCACTTCCTCCTCTCTGCTCCCCCCTCCCTGTGTCTTTACTCTCTGCCCCCCCCCCCCTCCGGAGGTCGGTGGTCCAGCTGGACATGGCCCACAGCAGGAAGGCTCTGGTGGTCCCGGCCTTCGAGACGCTGCGCTACCGCCTGTCCTTCCCCAAGTCCAAAGCCGAGCTGCTCTCCATGCTGGACATGGGGACCCTCTACACCTTCAGGTACCGGGGCTAGGGTTAGGGTTAGGGTTAGGGTTGGGATCTGTCCAGCTGGTTTTAGGGATACGCCTGCTTCTTTTGGCTCTAGTTTTTTGTCTTTTATCTGTTTTTGCTCAATTTGAGTCTTGTTTTTGCTATTTTTCCTCATCAAAGTCTAATTTTGGTTCTTTTGGTTCGGTTTTCCTTATTTCATATCTCAGTTTTTGCTTATTGGCTGTACCTTTTACTCTTTTATCACAGCTTTTGCTCAGCAAGGTTCTTGTTGTTGCTCTTTTTGCTCTTTTAATTGTAATTTTGTCTCTTTTAGCTAATTTCTTAAAAATGTTTTAGCTCTGTTTTTGCTTTTTTTGCTCCACTTTTTGCTCATTGAGTCTAATTCTGGTTCTGTTGGCTTCTTTGTTCTTATTTTGTAGCTCAGTTTTTGTTGTATCATCACATTTTTTTCTCATCTAATTTGAATTTTGGTTGTTTTGGCTCTGTTTTCCTTATCTTTCAGTTCAGTTTTTGCTGTTTTGTCTGTACTTTTTGCTCTTTTATCTCAGCCTGACTCTTGTTTTTGCTCTTTTTGCTCTTTTTTTTTACTCATTTAAGACTAAAATTGGTTCTGTTGGCTTGTTTTTTTAAATCTTTTAGCTCTATTGACTTTTTTCTGCTTTACTTTTTGCTCATTGAGTCTAATTCTGGTCCTGTCGGCTTGTTTATAAGAATCTTTTAGCTCCTTTCCCTCCTAAAGGGGGTTCAGAAAGCGTCCAATCGGGGCTAAGGGCGTGTCCTCCTGCTCTCCAGGTATCACGTGTGGCCGAAGGGCCACGCCCCCACCAACTATGCCAAGTGGCGCACGGCGGTGACGCCCTACCGGGTGGAGTGGGAGGCGGACTTCGAGCCCTACGTGGTGGTCAGGCGGGACTGCCCCGAGTACGACCAGCGCTTCGTGGGCTTCGGCTGGAACAAGGTGTCCCACGTCCTGGAGCTGGACGCACAGGTAGAGGCTGGACAGACCGGGGGGGGGGCCTGTTTCTGGGGAGGGACCTCCTGGGTTTGGGTCTTCGGAAAGTTGGAGTTAACATTGACATTGTTGTGTTTTATCAGCCTCAATAATTCCTGGAAATGTGTTTGAGACTCCTTTGGGGTGTCTTTGAGGGGTTCTGAGAGTTTGGGGGTAGTGTGCCTCTTTAAGGAAATGGGGGGCGGAGCTTCTGGTTGGAGCCTTTAACGGCCAGAAAGTGAATGGAAGCACATTTAAGCTGTAGCTGTCATTAGATAACAGCTCGGTTTCAGCTTTTTTAGTGTTTTTCTGCTTATTCAAGAGTAATTTTTGACGGTTATTGTTCTTTTAGTTCAGTTTTTGCTCAGCTGGACTTTTGGTTTAGCTTTTTTTTATCCACGTTTTGCTCGTTTATGTCTAATTTTGGTTCTTTTAGCTCAGCTATTGCTATATTTAAAGCTTTTTCTAGTCATTAAAACCTAATTTAGCTTCTGCTGGCTTGTTTTTTAATCTTTTAGTTCAGTTTGTGCTCAGCTTGACTTTTGGTTTAGCTCTTTTTTATCCACTTTTTGCTCGTTTAAGTCTAATTTTGGTTCTGTTAGCTCAGCTATTGCTATATTTACAGCTTTTTTGGTAATTTAAATCTAATTTTGTTCCTGTTGGCTTGTTTTTTTATCTTTTAGCTCAGTGTTCTGCTCAGCTTGACTCCTGTTTTTACTTTTTTCTATGCACTTTTTGATCTTATTTTGGTTCTTTTGGCTCGGTTCTAACGGACCTCCAGATCTGAGAAGAGCAGCACTTTCCCTCCAACCACTTTTCCCCTCCTGTCTCCTCAGGAGTACGACCTGATGGTGCTCCCCAACGCCTTCATGATCCACATGCCCCACGCGCCCAGCTTCGACATCTCCAAGTTCCGCTCCAGCTCCAGCTACCGCCACTGTCTGAACACGCTGAAGGAGGAGTTCCACCAGGACCTGTCCCGGAAGTACGGGGCCGCCGCCCTCAAGTACCTCACCGCCCACAGGACCGTGTAGGGCCCTAACCAACCCTAGCCCTA